TCTGGGAGGGCATGAGAGAGGGGGAAGTGGGGGTCGGGGTTAAGGAAGTGGTGCTAACAAACCCAGGGACAAGGGAGCAACAAGTGATCCACATTGGTGGTAAGGAGGGTGTAGGAAGCCTGGTAGGGCTAGATCATGGGTAATGTAACTGAGAGGAATTACTGAAACCCAAATGAAGGCTGAGCATGATAGTGAGACAAGAGGAAAGTAAAAGGAAATAGAGAAAAGAAGTAGGAGGCACAGGGCATTTATAGCAGACTAAATAAAGGTACATACATATGTAAATATATTTATATATCACGATGGGGAAATAGATCTATGTGCATATATTTATAGATTTAGTATTAAGGTAGCAGAAGGACATTGGACCTCCACTCAAGTACTCCCTCTATGCAAGAATAGTTTGTTCTATTAAATTGGCATTCTATGATGCTCACCTTCCTGACACAACCACTGAAGACAAAGTGGGTGCATAAGCAAATGTGATGAAGAAAGCTGATGGTGCCCAGCTATCAAAAGATATAGAATCTGGGGTCTTAAAGGTTTGAAGGTAAACAAGCAGCCATCTAGCTCAGAAGCAACAAAGCCCATATGGAAGAAGCACACTAGCCTGTGTGATCATAAGGTGTCGAAGGAATCAGGTATCAGACATCAAAGAACAAAAAATCATACCATTGTGAAATCAAATTCTTAAGCACTTGCCTTCAACTCTGAGATCCACAAATGTCCTTGGAAACTGGTTGGAGTCATGGTAGTGTGGTGTGTTACTTGTTGACAGATATGAATCTTACCAGACACTGTTGAGTTGACTAAGTGATAGTGCTCCCAGGTGTGTCAGGATAGAACTATTCTCCGCTGGTTTCCAGTGACTGATTTTTCAAAAAAGTCCATCACCAAACCTGTCTTCTGGGTGGGTTTGACCTGCCAACCTGTCTAGTTAGCATTCAACACTTGACTGTTTATCTCCCCCAGGAATTCCTGCTGAAGGGGTAATCCTTTGCTAACCACTTGATTCTGGCCCATAAGTACCTTCTTTAAGGTTTTGAAGCTTTGCATATCTCTATGAAAGCCGACCTCCTTTCTTTCTCCTGCAGTGGCTGATGAATAGGCCATCTCATATTTCCCAGTCTATTGAAATGCCTCCTGATACTCAGGGACTTGGGTTGTATTTTGTGCTCTTGGACACATGGGGGAGGATTCTGGCTCCTCCGCATTCAAATCATCTGACCTTTCCTCCTAGATGCAGGTCATTTCTGAACAAAGATGCCTAATGCCAAGAAAGGAGGGGTTGTTATCAGGGAAATAACTGGTTCCAAGCTAGAAATATAATTGACCTTTAAAAGTCTTTGGCTGCACTGAAGACACAGCGTGGAAATTGTGCCCGATCTGATCCCACCACACCAAGGAGAAACACTAAGGGTGTTCAATAGAACAGCAAGGGGAGCAGAGCAATGAAGTCCCCAGGGAATAAGAAAAATAGACTTTGGGGCCATGGCATGGCACCCTGTCAGATTCAACTGGAAAGCACTCCTAAAGGCCAATAAACAGTCCTGGAACTAACTACAGGCTTTTATTATTTTTTTTTGTCATTGGGTTTTTGTTTTCTTTTGTTGCTTGGTTTTGCTCTGTCTTGTTTTTGTGCATG